ACGTCGAGGGGTTTGTGCGTGTAAAAGGGTGCTCTCACCGTCGCGGAGAGCGATGCATAGCACGTGGGTCACGTACAAAAGACAAAAGTGTCACACATTTGAGAGTTTTACGACCGAGAGGAGGTGCCGCTTTATCCTCCATCCCCTTTAATATGCGTAATACCTCTTCCATCCAAGGGACGCACTTTAGTTCACGCTTTTTCTCCCGAGGCTCGTCGCTCGAAAAAATAGCTTAAAATAGAAAATACTATACTACGTTTATCGTATTATTGATGATTCGCTGCTGCATCGCACGCCGGCGCCGGCCGGTATATTAATTAAATTCTATCGACACTCGCAAAGTTCGGCGTGTGTTCAATTAAAATGCAAATACGCACGTGTTGTACGATCATAAGCTTATTATAAAAGTTGGCGTGTATGATTTGCAATCTATCAAAATGCATTCGTGATATCCAGCTTAACATAGGATAATAACATGAGATGCGTTAGAGAAACCATTTGTGAATTGTTATTTCGACATTTGCGTAGCGCGTTGTAGTTCAATAATGTAGGATTCCAGCCGTTCTCTCATTGGGATATACATCGCATTGTTACCGAATCTATCACGAGTCATCGAATGTCACTGAAATACGACAGAAATATCTCGTTGGAATTCTGAAAATGTAACGCGAACATTTCTCTCGGCGAATTTAATCTATCGGGTTTCTATACAAAGCTTTAACTGTATCTCTCCGACGATTTTGACGGGTTTGGCAGGTTATTTGTACGGAAGTTAGACGTCGTCCGTGGAGCATATCTCCGAAAAACTCTTATATTCCGTTTTATTTCGACCGATCGCTATTTTCGCTTATCAAACGGCTCAAGTATGAGGGGAAAAACACATTCGGTTACTGCACTGCGATCGATCGGCCTCTTTTGGCAATGATCCCGCATTGCCACTCTATTCCGAGACGTAGATTTCTTTCCAATGACTCCATATGATTTTTAAAGCATTTTTATAGCGTCTTAGTTATACATATGAACATAGCACAACGAAGAAATCTTAATTATTTATCCCAAAATATAGAATAGAATTTTATTTTTGCATTGTACATTTATTCGTAAGATTGTACAGTTTGATTGTAAAAAACACAATTAATTATTTAGTTCCCAAAAACCAAGAGAGTGATTCTTGCAAATTTTTATCAGATCTATTAATAAATTCTTCACAAATTACAGAATAAATTTTTTTTAATGACATTTTCGCGGAGTAATCTAGATTTCTATTTGCAGGAGCCTCTCACGCACCACAGTAGGTCTTAGAGGATGCACAAGTTAGCCAAGGGCCTGAAGAAGAAGAAAAAGCCGAAGAAGGGCAAGAAGGGGGCGGAGGAAGAGGAGTTCGATCCGGAGGAGCTCGAGCGTTATCGGCGCGAGCGGGCGGAGGCCCAACAGAAAGCCGAGGAGGCCGGCGAAGCGGCTAAAGGTACCGGATCTGACGAGTGGAAGAAGTTCCAGGCTTTGACTGCTGGTGTCGATTCGGTCTTGAGGAAGACTCAGGATGACCTCGATCGGATAAAGTCTACCTCGTTCTTCCAGCGAAAGGCACCGTTGGAAGAGAAAAAACCGGACGAGGCGGCGAAGCAGGAGGACAAATCATCGTCAAAGAGGTGGGTGGGCTTCGACAAGGAGGGTAACCCAATCGAGGCCGCGCCGGAGATCGACGGTCAAGAAAGGAAGGAGGGCAAACCGTTTGTCAACGAGGACGGTTTCGTAGAAGTACCGGAGGACGAGGATGAGCAAGAGGACTCCGCCGACGAGGATATCTTCGACACCACTTACGTCGACGTTCTTCAGAATATCGATGTTCAATTAGCTTATATACCGGACAGCCCGACCGAGGAGGAAGCTGGGGACGATCCCTTCGACACCACCAACGCCGACAAGGTTCTCCGTACAGTCGATAAAAAGGGCAACAAGCTAGTCAGCTTAGGCAATGCTGTTGAGGTGTTATCGGGAAGGATCGACTATGTAAGCACGTGCAAAATCACCAAAGGCAGGCGACCTAGAATCCAGCAGGATCTATTGTTGGACGACTTTGACGAGGCGGAACAGCCGTCGGCGGAAGCCGTTGCAGCGGAACCGACAGAAGTAGAGAAGACTTTGCTGGATGATGACAGCGATCTTCCCGACATCCCGGTTGATTTGACGAAATTACCGCCTGTGTTTCCAAGGCCAGTCAGCCCGGTCACTCCAACACCCGTTCAGGAGAGTACAACCTCGACGACCACTGAAAAGACATCAAATGGTCCGCTAGATATTTCCGAATTCGAAGTTCTGAAGGAGAAGACGGTCTTGGAGGAGATTCCCGACTTGGATGACGCTGAATTTGATCTAAACGTCACGCCAAATGAGTCGACTCGTCTCGAGGAGGCCGATGATCCATTCGCCGCGAAAGAGCCTGAAACGACCGATTTTCAGACGGAGATAATTGAGGCCAGCTTCGAGGCAGCGACCTTCGTCGACGAAGCCGATCCGTTTGACACTACATTCGCGGATAACATACTACCAGGTAAAACAGAGCTGAAGTTTATCGAGAAGGAGCTCGAAGAGCTGCCCGTCTCGGAAGTATCCATATCACTGACCGATCCCGCTGGCTTAATCAGAGATTACGAAACTGGTCGGCTGAAAACCCATCGTGATACTTTACAGAAAGACAATCATGATACTTTGCTGTCATCCAAGAAGGATCTGCTAGGCGGCTCGACCACCGATCTTAGCCAGTTGGCGGACGAACCGATCGCGCCTGTTGAGGAAATCACTTACGTCGATCCCTTTGATACGTCCGCGGTAAAGGAGCTTCCACCCGGCAAAACAGAGCTCAAGGTCTTAGAAAAAGAATTGCTCGGCGAGCAATCCAGCAGCTACGTCGAGGACGACAGCGATTTTGATCCGAGGAAAGATGAGGAGTCAGTAAAGATATTGCCCGCAAAACCACCGCCACTTAGACCATCCGCGCCGGTTAACCCTGTGTTCGACGTTAACTTCGAGGAAGACGAGAAGATCGAAGCGGCACCGACGAATTTCGAGAGAAAAGCTTCTCGGCCGGAAGTCCTCGAGCTCGCTCCGATCAAGACCGTCGCGTTTGAACTGCCGACGCCGTCGAAGAGACCTGACCTTCTCGCGACTTCCGAAGAGGAGAAGACACTACCCTCTAAACCGCTGACACCGTATTATTCCCAGAAATCCATAGAAGAGTCGTTGCCGATAGAGGACGACGAAGTAGATGTCGATCCTTTCGACACTAGTTTCGTCAATAACGTCGCGCCGGGCAAAACAGAGCTCAAACTCATCGAATCGGAATTGTTGAGGCAGGAGTCTAAGCTGCCTCACAGTTTGAGCGACCACGACTTCGATCCGAGGTCTACCGCAGAACCAATTAGGAGACAAAGCGATTTCACGGCCACCTCGGTCGCGCCGAGCAATCTAAAGCTCGCGCAGCTACAATCGTCGCTGATACAAAAGGTCGAAGAGGAAGTGATCGTGAAACGAAAACCTCAGAGGCAAGAGAGCTTGTTGGATGCGGAAGTCGAGGTCGACGCGAAACCTCTGACACCTAGGATCGAGAGCAAACCTATCGCGGAAGAGGAGGAAATCTTGTATTTGGATCCTTTTGACACTTCTATCGCGACGAACATCCTGCCCGGAAAAGCAGAGCTGAAGATACTGGAGAGTGAATTGCAGCAAATTCCTCAGCAACCACCGCCGCGTCCTAATCTACCCATCAATCTACCCACCGTGGTACCTGTCGTTGCCTCAACAGTCCCGGAAATCGATGACTTCGATCCTAGAGCGGACGAGGTAAAGGAGTCTAAAGACTTTCTGTTTTTAGACGGGCAGGATACCGGCGACAAAGTGTTGACGCCGATGCAGAATAAAGATTTTACTTTGGACGACGACGTGGATCCCTTCGACACTAGCTTCGCTACTATCGAGCCTGGACGGACCGAATTGAAACTGCTCGAATCTGAACTGATGAAGTAATACCGTCAGTCGTTATACAGCTCCATTTCTTCAGAACCTTTAGAATAATCTTTTGACTATGTGTTTGTTGAGCCGTTCAACATAGATGTGCGCGTTAACTATCTCTTTTGAAACTGTACAAGAGATTATTTAAATGCATACTCTCTACTCGTTACATACGTCATCAATAATCTCTACATACTACGATCAAACGGAAGAGTTCGAAAAATATTTGCACTGAATGACGAATCGAAATTGTACCAAGAAATATTTGCCTAGAACGCATAGAATAGACATAAACAGTCTAAAATTAGTCTATTCTATTCTGATGGAAGTACAGTTCAAAAGATTTCGCTCAAGCCTCAACAATTGTTACAGTTAATTCTTGACCGGAGTTTCTAAGCCAATTCAATCATGGATCCCAAGGGCGGAAATCCGTTCTTAATGGATGATTACGCGGCGGAGCCGGGGGGCGGCTTGCCCCCGCAGGCTTCCAATCCTTTCCTTCAAGATTTCACCGATTCGGCAAGTTCCGGCGCAGGCGAGAATCCTTTCTTAAACTTCAGCAGCGGGCAAACGTACGAACCACCAGTGTCCGTCGACTCTACCAATCCGTTCGCCTCCTTTGGCATTGAAAGTACCGCTCCGGACACCGGATTCGGAGCGACCACCGACACAAATACGCCAGCAACCGACGTCTTCACTAGCCAGTCATCCAATATCTTCGTCACGTCCGAGAACGCGAGCGTGGACCTGTTTGGTACGATGACGACGACGACGGCCGAGAAACAACCGGCGACAGTCGTCAGTCCACCGCAGCCGTCTCCGGCGGCGACACCTCCGTCGAGAAACGGAAAGCCACCGCCATCGAGGCCACCCCCGCCGAGGCCGCAACCACCACCGATACCGCCACCGGTACAACCAGCTTCTAAGAACACGAAGGATCTAATATTGTCGGTTACGGGAGCAATGGACGCTACCTCGAACCACCTTCTGGATCGTTTGCAAGCAACCAGAACGCCCAGCCCCACGCTGATGCACTCCCCGTCACCCACCCCGGAGCACAGCTTCGCCGATCTTCTGGACGTCGACAGCAACGTGCCGGATCTGATCTCGGACGATAAGGTCATCGAGCCGCCGAAGAATCAAGATATCATGGATCTTTTTGACGCGCACACTGATGTCACCTCAACCTATATCTTCTCTACTTCCATAACCACCACGGGTACTACCAGTCTTGTCACCGGAGCCCCGATAACCGCCACCACTACCAAGGATAATCCTTTCGCGAGCATGAGCGAGGAGGCGGTGGTCCCGCAAGCGCAAGCTGCCTTTGATATGGAATATCCGGAAGATATCATCAGTAGCGAGAAGCGGCCTTCAATGACCTCTGCGACTCCTTTCGCAGCCATAGAAACGGACGTCGAAAAATCCGGCACTGTCTTGGACCTTGCGGAACCTGCTCCTGTTCAACCAGTGTCGACAGCAACCGCTGAACTCTTCCAAGGTTAAAAGATTTCTTCTCTTACTTGTGAATGGAAAAACAAGAAAAATTATAATCTAGAATAATATTATATTGTTTTAATATCTTACATTTTGTATATTGTAACTTTATATTTTTCTTATAGAAACAGAACAGATTTCCACCGCTGCTGATGCAAACTTTTTCTCTATGACCGACACAACCACGGCAACGCCCTTCGGCGTAGCCGAAACCACGCCCGCAGCTGCACCGTTCGCACCTGCAGCTCAGCCCTTATTTGCTCCGTCGGAGATCACGCAGCCTGCTTTTGCCTCAGACTTACTGGGTGATTTCGGAGAAACGACCAAGGAGATCAGCAGCGGTCTGATCTCCACCAGTCCAACCCCTGGAACGGAGTTCCCCGGAAACGAGGCTTACCGGCCCGAAGAAGAGTTAGATAACTTCGCCGCTACGACGAAAGCGATCGAGGATACTGGCGACTCATTCGATGCTTTCGCGTCGAAATTCGATAAGGCCGCCGAACCGGAAACCAACGGTAAAGATCCCTTCCTGGATCCCTTCGGCGGCGGACCAACCGCTATGGATACCTCCAGCGACGGTAGGTGGACAAACGCTAGCTTGTAACTTTATATTTGTACTTAACTATTTATTGCAATAACCATTTTCCCTTCAGTTTGGGGAGACTCGTCAGTAGGTGGATCGGCGATCACCGGTTTTGGAGAATCCGACGGTTTCGATTCTTTTTTGAGTATGACGGCTCCACCGCCAGATACGAAAGTGAAAAGATCCGAGTCCGCGGAGTCGGACGAAGGGCCCGATTTCAGTGTATTTATCAAGTGAGTCAAAGGAAAAAATTACTGACTTTTGATAAATCATAGATAAAAAAATTTGAGATTGATTTATTTCTGATGTTGGTCGTTATAAAATTATATTCAGTAGGATCGTCGAAGAATTACGGACTTTTACACTATGGCTTAACTTGGCAGCACAGTTAGATTCAAGAATGCAATACTATTTCTAACATTAATGCATATTTAATCAGTCCTCTATTTATCTCTTAGACCGAAAGAAGGAGATCAGATGACAACAACGGAAGGCGGACCTGTACCTACGTTAGCGCCGCCGCCGAAAAGTCCGCAGATCGCCGCGTATACGGATTCCTCGCCGCGATTTAATCCTTTCGATAAATCCGGAATCGCGCAAGACGCCGTGGTATCCGAAACTGCACAAACAGCCGAAATGGCTAGGACGGATTCTCAGGTATTTTCACTAAATTATACTATCGAATGTTGTCATTTTTTTCTCTTATTCGCAACATTGTTAAATTTAACAATAATGTATTATAAATTCATGATTCTAAATTGTGTAGCTTTTTTATTTTTGACTCTTATACCTAGAATTTCAACATTACTTAAATTTTTTCCGGTCCATTCCAGTTCTTTGTTTAGAAGAAAATTTGACGTAGCAATTTTAAGAATTAGCGGTACAATCTCTACATCCCAAGACTCACCAAACGGTTTAGCCAAGAAAATTGCAGTACTATACTTACAAAAATTGTAAGCGTTGTAACAAATTTCAACTTGCGTTCGTATTTTTTGGACTCTATTAGCGACTTATTTGTGTGTTCAAATTTCCGTTGTTTGTATCAACGCACTGAAGATGACTTTAATAGGTACACATGTTTGACATATTAATGTTTATATTTATTAACGTATTTATTTAAGTTATAATACAGAGAATAATCACACACAAGGTTTGTGGTTTATTAGCTTATTTTATTTCTTTCGATTTTTAACCTGCTGAACCTGAAACTATCTTTAGTTATAATTTTTTCTCTTTTTTCAGGAAACCCCGCCTACTCCCTTGTTCGACGAAGACGTTAGCCAACCGCTCGAGGATTTCCCGAGGATAACTTACACCGGCGACGGTTGGGAGATGCAGTTGCGACAGCCAAACAAGAAGAAGATCACGGGGCAACGTTTCTGGAAGAAGATCTTTGTCAAGCTGGTTTACCAGGGTGACAATCCAATCCTTCATTTGTCCAACAATAAAGACGACAGAGATCCTTTTCAAGAATTACCTCTGCTCGCTTGTTACTCGGTGTCAGACATTGGCGCCCAACAATTCGATCAGTATGGGAAGATCTTTACTGTAAAATTGCAATACATCTTCTATAAAGAGAGGCCTGGCGTGCGACCTGGTCAGGTCACGAAGGCTGAAAGAATCACAAACAAACTCAGCCAGTTTGCAGCGTACGCTATTCAAGGAGATTATCAAGGCGTCAAAGAGTTTGGAAGTGATTTGAAGAAATTGGGTCTTCCTGTCGAACACGCACCTCAGGTAAATTATTTTAGTTTCTCGATACAAATCACACGTTTAAATGAACGTCAATCGGTGCGATTAATATATCTGTATGTATTGCGTAATTATCGTAAAAGGCTCAATTTCTATAGTAACGCTATATAATAATGACAAGCTTAATATACAAACTTAATATAGTATGTAATAAGCCGCAATTCATATTAAATTCTGTTAAATATTTCATGTTGCTTACAGATCTCTCAGTTATTCAAACTTGGTTCCCAATGTTACGAGGACATGAAACAATTTTCTTGCGCTATCGAAGAAGCTCTCTTTAGGTTATCGGCTCATCGCGATCGGGCTTTACATTACAAAATGGAGGAGGTCCAGGTAACAGTCGTGGATGAGGTGTATGTCGAGCAGAACGCGGAGGGTCACGTAGACAAGCAGATCGCGCGTGTTCGTCTTTTCTTCCTGGGTTTCCTTTCCGGTAAATATCTAAGCAATTGCGAATATATTGTGCTATATTCTAAAATACATTTAAATAAAAAATATTTTTATTTAAATATATTTTATGCGTTCTTATAATTTACAATTACGCATAAAACAAACTCAATTCATTGTTTAGGTATGCCCGACATAGAATTAGGAATAAATGATATGTGGCGACAGGGTAAAGAAGTCGTTGGTAGGCACGATATCATCCCCGTCGTAACGGAGGAATGGATTCGTCTAGAGAACGTTGAGTTTCATTCCTGCGTTCAACAGGACGAGTATGAAAAATCGCGGATAATAAAGTACGTATTTAGGGTAATAAAAACGATAAATACGATTTTCCTCGAATGAACGCTAATAACTCTAACAATTTCTTGTTCGCAATTACGAATAAGCATGACAATCGTGATAGGATTAAATTTTTTTTATGACGAATAAAATTATCCTTATTTTAAGAAATTAATACAATCTGGCTCGTCTTTAACAAACGTGTATGTTTTAACTACAAAACTAAAATTATTTTATATTTTACTAACTATTCTAATATCCTACTAACATATATCTTCTAAGGTTCAAGCCGCCTGATGCATGCTACATTGAATTGATGCGGTTTCGCGTAAGACCGCCAAAAAATAGGGAACTACCGCTTCAGCTAAAAGCTGTTATGTGCGTTACTGGGAACAAAGTAAGTTTGTTCTTTCATATTTTCACTAAATTTTCCGTTCAGTAAACTTTCCAGTATTTAAATAAAAGCGGAGACTTGTTGATTTTAGCCATCATCGTATCTTGCTTCTATCTGTTATATTAGGTAGTATTGTCAATTTCTGTTCTAATATCAAAATATTATATATAAAATTTATCTTTATATAAAATTCTAGCTTTATATATAAAATTTTTGTTAAAATTTCTTTTTATTTTTTATTTTGTTCTTACAACACGTGGCAAACTTTCATAACGATGTGTTTGTTGATACTACATCATTTTTTATGCGTTTATTATTAGGTGGAGTTGAGAGCAGATATTCTCGTGCCTGGTTTTGCATCTAGAAAACTAGGCCAAATACCATGCGAAGACGTGATGGTTCGCTTTCCTATACCTGAGTGCTGGATCTATCTCTTCAGGGTCGAGAAACACTTCAGGTATGGCTCGGTGAAATCGGCGCACAGAAGAACGGGAAAGATTAAGGGTATCGAGAGATTTTTGGGCGCCGTCGACACATTAGAACCACAGCTGATGGAGGTAACTTCCGGTCAGGCGAAATACGAGCATCAACATCGCGCCATTGTATGGAGGATGCCCAGGCTGCCGAAAGAGGGGCAAGGTATTGCTTATACTTTTCTATTTATTCAGTTAAAACTGATTCATTACTAACTCTTATATTTATTTTACAATTAATGTTAAAGAAACTTCCATTTATTTTATTCCGTTTTGTGAACTGAAGAAAAAAAGGATTCGGGAAATCTCAACGATACATTTGCTAAACGCAAGAATATTTTGGTTCTGCATAAGGGTAGAACCATCACGCGGAATGGTTTAAATATACTGCGTGTTCAAATCATCACCCAAACGATTCTGCTGGCTCTCGTCCAATTTCAGTTATTTGCGGTTATTTCCAGGCGCATATACGACGCATCAGCTGGTTTGCCGTATGGCTCTCACTTCATACGATCAGATCCCCGAAAATCTCTCGGAATACTGTTACGTGGAGTTCACGATGCCGGCGACGCAGGTGTCCCATACGACCGCGAGGAGCGTCAGCCTCCAGAACAGCGACAGTGACGCGCCCCCAGAAAAGTACGTCCGAAATTTGTCGCGTCACGAATACAGGTGAGTTCAGAAAGATTATTCCAATATTAGATAAATCATATAAAGCAAAAGTGCGAAACTTTCTCAGTATGTCTATAAATTATTCGATTATTATGCACCACTTGATGCTCTTATAAGAAGATGATTCATCTAGTTATTTAGCATCCTTTTTTGCTGGTCTCAGATGTTACTGCACAGATGATACTGTATTATTAAAACATTATAGAGTGGGGATTGAGCATACGCAGGGCGAAGGGCCGGGAGCATACGTTGCGGCGACGATTGCGAAGAAGATCCCCGAGACCACGCCGGAAGTTCAAGAAACGCCCGAAGCGCCGGCTGATTCCGATTCCGACTCTACGGAGTAACATGGGTAATCCGTCGCTAAGTCAACGTCGATCGTCATTTTGTTGTAATAATTAGTACGTTACGTAAAAGATAGGAAACTCCGCGTTACGTAAGTCACGATCGCGGTATAGAAATTTTCACATACCGTTAAACTCAGTCATTTAAGGGATAAACATATAACTAGTATCTACACTGGTTATATGTATGATACTAGACTAGTACTATATCATGTACGTCTCACTAGTCTGTATAGAGAGAAAATTCGCGAGAATCTGCAACGGGATGTTTCGTAAGGTTGCCGATAGTTATAATAAACGGCGGATAATCATTCTGCATGTGCGAAACCGTTACACTTCGTGCGGTCGCTTATCGGTCGAAATTGGCCGAACTAGTCGTTGTTACAGTTGAAAAAAAAAGAACCGAACCAGATCAGCAAAGACTAAAATATTCGATTTACGAGACAGCATATTGATCCTCGAACATATGCTTAGTGAGGCCATAGTCGGAGCCATATTACAGACTGAAAAGATAATTTGCCTGACATCTTTGAAACGAGACTTGTAAATATATACATTAAGGTAAATGTATCTATGCCTGGACACGTGTCTATTTCTGGACATTTTTATTATTTTAGTTCTTAAATAAGTTGTAACGCGAATTAAAATCAAAGATAAAAATATTTTTCTCGTATTATATTTTTATCTTTAATTTTAATTATTTATGCTTATTTAAAAACTAAAATGATAAAGGTGTCTAGACATAAGTCTTAAGTGTCCCGGCATTAGTACATTTATTTCCTTACTCCCGCTTTTTAGTCACCGGGTTTCTCGCATCTACTTGAGACTTAGGATTGAGTGTAACTTTTCTTTCCGATCCTCGAATCAATCGCTCTGGGACCGTATTCTCGAGACTGTCCTAATGATTTTCGTATGCGACTTTCTATTTGAAAAGCATTGAATTTCGCATGCGAGTTTCATGAAAACGATTCGAGAATAGGGCCCCTGATCAATGTTCGCAAAATAATTTGGCAGGCGAACAAAACATCTCGTTCGTATTCGCGCGCGACATAGTGGTTAACGAATTAAATAATTAAAGAAAAATAATTTGACATATGGAAGGACAATACCGCTTTTTTGTTTCATTTAACTTGTTAAGTCATAGAGCACTCGCGACGGAAAGCTTTGCGTTCGTGAAATGCGTTCATGGGGTTTTAAAGATTTATCGATATCCTCATCGATATATGCAATATTAATTGAAATTGTTGATATAAAAGAACATTCGCGTGCTGTGTACTTTTTAAAGATAGCGTATCCTAATTGCCTATCCTATATTCGAGAGATCATTTGGATTATCTAGTACCTAAATTTTTCTGATTTATATTATAGAGACGGTAATTTTTTCACTTGCATATTATGCGTAGAACTGAAGTTCTCATTTAAATATTTAAAAACTTTTAATTACAAGAACCGTTCCTAAATCTAGCATCGAATTTTCATGAATTATTGAAATGGGAGACCACCCAAAAAGGAAGATATATCGTTAAATACGTCGTCGTCGCGATCAGAGAGCAATGTGACCTAGATATCATTATTTTATAGACACGACCATATCTCATTGTTTGAGCTTATAGATGATCTTTGTGTACCGTTATCTAGTCGCTAGTAGATACTAGTTATAAATTAAGTTATAAATCCATTATCATAGTTAGAGTCTACGGTTAGAGTCTGTGAGACAGACGCAGCGTGCCGACAAGAATGAGGTCAACAATTAGGTTTAGATAATTCTAGAACGGCGGTGTTGTGTGTATAATATTAATTCGGTGTAAATGCGGTAAATGCGGTAAGAGTCTTGCGAGAGGTACGTCTTGTCCTCAATTGAACATACGCAGAACGGAAAGCCAGGAGCATACGTTTTGGTGATTTCGAAGAAGATCCCCGAGATCACGCGCCGGTTCGAAAGTTTAAAAGATGTCCGATGCGCCAGCCGATTCGGATTCCGACTCTTCGCAGTAGCATGGGCAGTCTGTCATTAAGTCAACGTCGATCGATCATTTCGTTGTAATATATAATTAGTTTTAATAATTAGTAATAATTAGTTACATAGGGGTAGGAAAATCCGCGTTACGCAAGTCGATTGCGGTATGCAACAAGTCGCCAAGAAGTAAACAATATAGCTATAGGCTACTAATACCATATCATATACGTGTCACTAATCTATATAGAAAGAAAATTCGCGAAAGTCTGCGGGATGTTTCGAAAGTTTTTCGATAGTTATAATAAACGGTGGATGATCATCCTGCACATACGAAACCGTAACACTTCGTGCGGTCGCTTATCGGTTAAAAATTGGCTGAACCAATCGTTGTTGCAATTGAAAAAAAAAAAAACAATTATAGATTAACAAAGACTAAAGTATTTGGTTTACAAGACAGTATATTGATCTCCAAACGCACGCTGAGCGATTGGTAAGGTAATCAGAGCCATACAGACTGAAAAGATAATTTGCCTGATATCTTCAAAACGAGAACTGTGAATATTATTCTCGCTTTTTAATCACCGGGATTCTCACATCTACTTGAGACTTGGGATTGAGCGTTACTTTTCTTTCCGATCCTCGAACCAATCGTTATAATGATCGTCCGCATAATAATCTTGCAGGTGAACACTTCACAAAACATCTCGTTAGAATTCGTGCACAATATTGTTTGTAAAAAAAACTAAATAATTAAAGGGAAAATAATTTGACATATAGAAGCATAGTACCGCTTCTCCGTTTCGTTTAGCTTGTTAGGTCGTAGAGTCTGCGGTTAGAGTCTGTGAGGTAGTGTGCGGATAGCAATGAATTATCGACAATTCTAGAACGACGGTGTTCGTTGCGTGTGTAATATTAGTTCAGTGTGAATGTGGTAAATGCGATGGAGTCACATGCGAGAGTACGTTCAGTTGACAATTGAGCAGACGCGGGACGAAGGGTCGGGAGCATACGTTTCGGCGACGAAGAAAATCGCCGAGACGGGAGTTCAAGACACGTTCGATGGGTCGGCCGATTCCGACTCCTCGTCCTAACATGGGTCATCCTAACAATCTGTCCTAAGTCAATGTCGCTCGATCGTTTCGTTGTAATATAATTAGTTGTGATAATTTGTACGTTACATAGGGGGTAGGAAAATCCGCGTTACGCAAGTCGATCGCGGTATGCAGAAATAAATGGCCTAACTAGTCGTTTAAGCGGTGAACATATAACTAGTATCTGTACTAGTTATGACGTATGGTGCTAGGCCGTAGTATTAGTATTGTATGTACGTGTCACTAATCTGTACAGAGAAAAAATTCGCGAGAATCGGCAACGGAATGTTTCAGAAGGTTGTCGATGGTTATAATAAACGGCGGATTATCATCCTGCATGTGCGGAACCGCAACACTTCGTACGATTATCGCTTATTGATTCAAAATTGATCGAACTAGTCATTGTTACCATTGAAAAAGAAAACAGAACCAGATCACACAGCAAAGTCTAGTCCTCAACAATACTCATGTAAGCAGTAATAGTAATCGCGAATAATTAATCTGTAAGTGCTTGTAGCGATAGCCCGCTGTGAAATGTAGATGTAAGTTTACGTTCGTCATTATTATTTTATTTTTATCCTTCTCGGTCGGTACGTAACGCTACCGACTTGTGGCAGAAAAGCAGCATCACCAAAGATTAGGATAAAGGTTGTACTAATGGGCGGCGTGTTATGCGAGGTTTCTATCGTATACGTGAGTATACAGAGAGATCTC